CTTGAGCTTGATGTCTCGCGTTCAGATGCGAACGTGCACCAGAGCTCGCCACCGACACTGCTGCAGTTTTTGGAAAACCTCCCTTGTCCAAACCCCATGTGCACCGATGCCCAAGGTTTACCACTTCCCTCACCTGGAACCCCGGGGTTCATGCTCCCTCAAATGCAGCCCGGCACAATTCATCCTGTCATCGCTTGCCCCCTCGCAGATCTAGTCACCAACGCGGCAAATCGGCCCTCCGTTCGTCCAGGCCAAGCGCCAACCCCAGAGCAGCTCGTATGTCTACGACCCGATAGGACGCACGGGGCCTCGCGTGTCCCATCCTTTCAGCGTGAGAGCTACTCTCAAGAGCTTTCGACGACGTGCAAACCGCTCGTACCTCACTACCACAGACAGGGGGTGCTCCCCTCCTACCCCTCGCCCTGCGATTGTTGCGGATTTCCCCTTCAGTGCATTCACACACAACCTCGGTGTAGGTCACTGATGGTGTGTGTGTGTAGCCCAAAGACTCGTGATGGCACGCGCAAGCGGTTGACTCTTCTCGCCCACAAGCGTTACAACCAAACACCCCTTCTTGCCTTCCAGTGGCGCCCGACGGGCTGCCGGCTTGCACTTCCACGCGGGCCACACCAACCACTGTCGGCTGCTTTTTCTGGGCGGCGAAAGGGTCCATGCGTCGGGCAGGCCACCCTTTTGATGTACGGAGATGGTTTCTGGTTTTCACTGGGTAGGTTGACTTGAGGATCTTATCTGTGAGAGCGTTTTTGAACTTTTGCCACCATTCGCCGTATTCTATTTGCCTCCACACAGCAAAACATGGTGCGAAGGCTGGTAGGCGATGGAGGGCCAAGCTGCGCCATGGTGACCATGCATTGGACAGGCCGCCCGTCGCGTTTTCCTCTTTTGGCACGGGATGGGCTTGAGGAGAGTGTGTTGCCACGTATAGGTTTAGTCGAGTGAGGCGGCCGGCCGGAGTCGTTGCGTTGGCAGACGAGAGATACACAAGGAAATCCTCTGACGAGGGACGAGGCCTTGTTGACAGCTGGGGTTTGACTGTGATTAATTATGACAGCAACTTTAAGGAGCTATCAATATGTGCGCTCGGCAGCTGCAATAGCTTTTATACCACCTGTGTGAACGTATTCATTGCAGTCGTATTGAGAGTTATCGGTGTGTGCGACTGAGACTGTGTACCTAATGGATGTTTCCCCAAACAGGAAGTAGTTACTCTGCACCTTGTGCTCTTTGGACGTATTTGTAGTCAAAAAACCTCACATGACATGAGGAATGCCATAGTTCTCTCAATAACGCACATGTTACATCTTAGGGCAACTGTTTTCCCTCACGTATAGCCATAGCACTTCTCAAACCACCATTATGATGATGAGGATCCAGTTAAATGCTGTACACACCGTGCTATCTACTGGTCCTAGTCTGTTCCAGTCTGGAATGAAAATAGCGCATTCCTAGGCCTGTTGCCAGTAGCAACACACGCCCCACAGCAGTAGGATATGGAGGCGCGGGTCCAGGATGGCACACACCCTCAACTCTGCCAACATAGACCTGACGGGAAATGGACACAGAGAACGTGTGTAGGGCTAGAGACCTGTGTGTGTGTGTGTGATGTGGTGTGGGTGTGAGGAGAGCTCATTCCAGCAGCAGATCCTCACACACCATACAACATACTAGTCCAAACATACCACACCTATTCAGACAGGTAACATGTCGCCGCACACACACAACTACAAACAGTCTCAGCTGACATTTCACACTCAGTATCAGTGGGGCACAAACAACATTCACAGCTCGACTGAAGTCACGTGCCAAAGAGTACGGAGATGACGACGAATAGAGGGCACCCGAGAAGTGGGGATGAAAGGGTGAGGAGCCAGTTTGGGGCATGGGGACAGTCTCAGAGATAGGAGGACCAGCACAGCTCAGCTCCTTACTGGAGTGAGCTGGTCACGACAGAGAGAAGGGTGCAGTGTGTGTGTGGAGGTGAGTAGGACAATAAGTCTAAGGAAGGAAAAGAGAGAGTCTAATGTTAATTTGGCATGGACCATTTTGTGTGGTTCTTCATATACGACTAAGTTTGTTGAGAGTCACACAAATCTGCTGGTCAGCATTTTCATTGTCTTATATAGCTCGTACCTGTTCAGAACCTGTTTTTCTTATGGCATACGATGCATTGAGTAACCACAACAAGTTCGTGACTTAAACGTTAGTCTTGATATGAAGTAAAGTAACAAGGGTTGTGACACTGAACATTAGCTCTATGGTGAATTGTGAATGTCTCGGGAAAATTCATGTAGGGAATGAGGAGTTCCTGCAAGTCTGCAGCTGGATCTATATACGTAAACACATGTGTGTGTTGCACACAGACTTAGTTGCATGGGACTTTGTCTCTTGCAACACTTGACATTTTCCTGAATGTATCCCCGATGCATGATCCATCATCATCTCTGTGTGGCAATGTCTGGTATTACTCTATTACCAACTCCCAACCTGTCCTGGAGTGGAGTGAGACGGTGACCCAGTACTACTGGTGACCAGCCTGCGCCAAAGACCAGGGAGAGCAGGTACAGAGAGATGCTCCACAGGCAGACAGGAGACACACCAGGCGGCATCCACCATACCCAAACACTACTGCTCCCCCTAGAATGTTCTGGAACACAGAAGCACCATGATACACAGTCCACTACCCTCTGTGTTTCACCATAGTCTCAACTAAACCTTACTTCCTCTCTCTCCGACCGACCGTCCGAGGCACTCGGGAACTTTTACAAAAGTAAAATGCTCATCGACCACCATCGTCTCAATGTCTATCCCTCCTGCCCTCACGTATGCACGAACAGCTCGGCTTCTAAGTGTCGCCACAGCCGGCACTAACTAGGAAGACGAGCAGTGGATGGCAAGGTCTGTTGTGTAGAGGGAGGCGGCAGAACTACGCAGAGAACTCGGCATAGTGCTCCTCCCTCAGTCTTCAGCTGGGAGGCCAGGGTCGAGCTGGTCCAATGTCAGATGAGGAAATGACATGGGTAGCCTGGGCGATTAGGATGACCATGTGACTCGCCTTCATTCCGTGCTTGATCTCATGAATATAGTCTCCCTACTTCAAGCATATTATAGTTGAGTGAATGTAAATAGATCAGTGTTTAGGGAAGGTCAGATGTTAAAGTTCTCACCCATTGTAACTTAAAACTTTTCTGGATAATGTGAAAACATATTACTTGCAGGAATTCATGCAAATGACCGTCAACTGTCTTTTCTCTCCCAACCTTTGTCGAACAGTAATATTCCTGCCTCCTCAGTAGAAGGTGCAGTGATGACAGAGGACCTGTCTCTTGTTACATGCTCTGGGAGGTCTGCCTGGACCGTACAGTGCAGCCTCACACACACGCACTCTATCTATTATAGCCATTGGATGCTGTTGATGTGGTGAATGTGCAGCAAAGGGTTCTGAAGACTGGTCACGAAGGTAATAGCACTACAGTACCACACCAGATTTTGCCAGTCTCTTTGCTTCTGTCAGGGCTCAACAATCTGCTGGCTGCCTATTCTGACAAGACGGCATTTGCTCAGTGCACCTTTGCCTCTGTGAGGGTAAGGTCAACCTGTCAAACTGTTCAAGGGAGTAACAAATGTGAGGGATGGTTGTCACCACACATTGCCTCGTGATAATATTCATGATGCAGGAAGTTAATTTAGCATTGAAGAATGCAATGATCCATTCCCAGTCTACTGCTCTTTATCCATTTTCTCTGCTTGTCAAGTAGGCATGTGTACTTTCTCCATGTGTGTGTCCATTATGATGGTAATGTATACCTCCACAGGGTACAATAGTGCCGGCCCGAGGACCCCCGGCTTTTGCTGGGACCCAATATTCCAGCAGAGGGTCCAGTTGACGTATGCAGAGATGGAGTCAGGGGTCAAGAACACCATCTCCCATCGCTACAAGGCCTTGTGTGCCCTCAGAGACTATCTCACTAGCAGGGGAGAGGGAGGAGTGGAGGAGGAGGGAGAGGGAGGTGTGAGGGAGGATGCAGACACTAATGCAAAGAGAGCCAAACTTGAGTGATGGAATCACCTTGCCTCATGAGTGTTGTATGTAATCATACGTGCCCCTTGATATTGACCAGGTCACAATCATGAATAAGGCTACCGGGCCCTGCCGAAACACACCCAAAATACTCCCAACCATGCATTCCAGGGTGTCCTATGTCAAGGGCCTGATATATCCTTATTTGGTGATCATCCAACCTAGTGCTCCGTGTTGCCAGGCACCAACCAATCAGATTGAAGTTCCTCGTACTGGTGGCTATCTATATGTGACTGTCCCAAGGGTGTTTTGTACCATATCATTGTATTAGTCAGTAGCAATGAGTGGCCGTTCTATAGGTAGCCCAGGGGATCCAGCCTTAGGGCACCAGCAGAAAACCAAATGGTTGAATCTGAGTGATGGTGAAAAGAAAGAGATACAGGGAGAAGTGTTGGATGCAGCAGTAGAGGGAGATATTACAAAAATGAAATCCCTCATAAAGCAATATGAAGGTCTCAGACTGGATTACTGTGTGTATAACAATGATCATGGAGATACTACACTTCACCTTGCAGCCTTACATGGTCACCTTCAGATCGTGAAATATCTCATTGTGAATGGTTACCGTATTATTGAGTGTGAAAACAAATATAAGCACACTCCTCTTCACCGAGCAGCAAAAGGTGGCAACTTGGAGGTTGTGCATCACCTGATAGACGAAAAAATTGTAATCGAATGCGTTTGTGCGACTGGGGGCAGAACCCCTCTGCACTACGCATGTGAAATGAAATGCAGACTTGATCTGTGCAATATTTGATGAATCTAGAAGGTGTCAACGTCAATGTTAAAGATACAAGGTACGGATCTACACCACTTGATTTAGCAGCAGCACACAGCACTGTGGATGTTGTTAAATACATGATAGAAGAAAAGAACTGCTATGATCCAGCAAACTATGAAGGCTCAAACTCACCACTAACTCTTGCTGCATTCAGAGGAAACCTGCCTGTAGTTAGGTATCTTGTTGAAAAGAGAGGTTTTGATGTCAATGTGAAAGGTTTGAATGACTGGACTCCACTTCATTCTGCATGCCGTAATAGAAAATTAGAGTTGGTCAAATATTTGATGGAGAATAAACGTATTGCTGTTAACGCTAAAGATAAATATGGATCAACCCCTCTTGATTTAGCAGCAGCATACGGCACTGTGGATGTTGTTAAATACATGATTGAAGAAAAGAACTGCTATGATCCAGCAAACTATGAAGGCTCAAACACACCACTAAATCTTGCTGCACTCAGAGGAAACCTTCCTGTAGTTAGGTATCTTGTTGAAAAGAGAGGTTTTGATGTCAATGTGAAAGGTTTGAATGACTGGACTCCACTTCATTATGCATGCCGTAATGGAAAGTTAGAGGTGGTCAAATATTTGATGGAGAATAAACGTATTGATGTTAATGCTAAAGATTCAGAGTATGGATCAACCCCTCTTGATTTAGCAGCAGCATATGGCACTGTGGATGTTGTTGAATACATGATTGAAGAAAAGAACTGCTATGAAGGCTCAAACACACCACTACATCATGCTGCACTCAGAGGAAACCTGCCAGTAGTTCAATATCTTGTTGACACCAGAGGTTTTGATGTAAATAGTAAAGGTTGGCATGATAGGACTCCACTGCATTTTGCATGTCAAGGAGGACATCTGGATGTAGTCAAGTATCTGATAGAGGAAAGTAAAATGGAAATGGTTGAAATGGTTGCAGATAAAAATGGTTTAACTCCTCTTGATTTAGCTGCTGAATATGGAACCTTGGATGTTGTTCAGTACATGGTTGATAAGAGAAATTTTGAAATACAATTTTCAGCGGGAAGAAAGGATATACACCACTTCACTGTGCTGCCCGCGGGGAAAATTGGACATTGTGTAAATATCTTATTGAGAAAAAGTTTCTACCCAAACTGTAAAGGGCATTGTAACAAACTAAACTCACTCAGCATGCTCCGGAGCAAATATGATGCTAGTGGGCGTACCTGATAGTTACGTGTGGCACATCATCTAGGGATAGGATGGTAACACGCCTCTCCATCTGCCGTGAAAATAATGTGAAAGGTCTGTGTGTTGATTGTTAATCACTGATTTGATGGTGAACTGATGAAGCTGAGACATTTTTTGGAGGAGATGCAGAACGGATGGCAAAAGATGCAGGGATCCTAACTCACCTCACAAAGGCCAAACAAGCTTCGCCACAGTAAGTATATTCATAGCTACAATTTCCATTAACCCTGGCGTGCATCTGCAGCGATAGTGACTTTGGTCTGTCTGTGCTGTGTGTTAGTCTCACGGTCGAGACATACGTAATGCGGGAAAATTACATTGCCACGTTGGAATCGCTTACTAAGCTGAATCGTCTGTGGAATTACAAAAACACGAGAAACACGGGCTTAGCACAAGCATCCACTAAACGCTTGAGACAAGTACTCTATCCTGATGCCACGTTAGGCAGCAACTATGTCCTCATTGATGCCTAGATCTAATTACCCTGGTCTATACTCCTACATACTGAGTGGGAGTATACTGTGCTATAGTGGTTTTTGAGATTTACCTTTGTGTTGTGTTGTGTTGCATTGAAGATTAGAACCCCTACAAGCTGAGTTGTCCTGGTAGCTCAGTTGGTAGAGCGCTCGCCTAGACTGCAGAGAGTCGTGGGTTCGAAGTTCTTCGTCCTGGGTGCAGTACTTGTTTGTTTTGCTTTGCCTTCTACCTCGTTACCTCGTTGTTGACACGTGCGCACGAGGAAGCCTGCACTAGAGCAGGCTTCCTCGTGCGCACGTGTCAACAAGAGCAGAGCAGGCTTCGAGGCGGCAGTACCAACTGCTGACAGCAACTATTAAAAACCGATGTGAGAAGACAAGCTTGTGTTGCAATAATAATATTAGCGAATGAACTGCGCAGTAAGTGTTGCTTCTGTGCATGCATGCCACCCGCCACCAGTGTTTCTTTTACTAAAGGCTTATACTTCAGTGGTTCTTATACCCCATTCATTGCATGACTTTTTCACTTTCTCAGATGAATTACGCAATACTCTAAAAGAGCGTTTGAAAGTCACAAAAGCCATACGAACAGGAGCAGTTATATCTGAAGGGGCATTCAGTTCCATCGTTGAGTTAAAAATCTATGCAACTACTGGGGAGAGAGTGGCAGGCAAGGTTCTCAAAGAATATCCCTCAGACATCACTCAATTGGAAACCACACTCGAAGCAGTAACTCGAAATGCTAAAATTATTACAACACTTTCTCACGAGAATGTTGTTGGGATAAAAGGAGTAAGTTTTCTAACGGACAGAATTCTGCCCGTTCTTCTAATGGAAAGAATGATGAGTAGCCTCCAATCGTATCTCCAGCATCATCCATACTCTCTTTCAGTGAATAAAAGAATTGGAATTTTAAGAGATATAGCTTGTGGATTACAGTATCTTCACAGCCTCAACCCTCCATACGTTCATGGGCACCTCACAGCAGAGAATGTCCTAGTGAATCAGAGGTTAAAAGCCAAGATTGGAGGGTTTTCCATAATATCAAACTATCGGCGACATCTAGATACGACATACATGCCCCCAGCGACTGAGGGAGGGGACAGACCATCAGATCCAAGTCTGGATGTTTTCTCGTTTGGACATTTAGCTCTTGTCACTATACTTCAAGAAAAAGTGGAACCACTTCTTCTTTCTTACTACATCAATGAGTCTGGTGAGGCCAGTATTCGACAGGAAGTTCACAGACGAGCTACTTTTATGAAAAAAGCTGAGAAAATATTGTCTGAAAATAGTTCTGTGTTTGAGCTTATCAAACTTTGCCTTTCCAACGTCCCAAGTGAACGACCCTCTACTAGTAAACTGCTTCAAGAAATAGGTGGGTTTTATCCTATAACCAGCAATAGCGTGAAACTGTATGAGAATTTGTTATCTACACGTCCTTTCATTTTCAGATAGTTGTGAGGGTAAATCAGGTGATGAAGATTTCACTGAAGATGCAGGTATGTATTCAGTTTTGTATGCTACTATCTATAGTCAGATCCACTGTTCTCTCAGCTGTCAATGAAGGTGGCATTCCTTCTAAAGCGATAGATTCTCATGAGAAAAGTAAGTATTATGTATATCCATTCCAGATTACTATAATCTTTTGTTATTCAGTGAGCATTGAAAAAGCTGAATCTATCGTTCAAGAAATGTTACAGAATGAAGGAGCATTTGAGCAAAAGAATATGGTGGTAGTCCTAACAGGCCTAATGGAGGCTGGCAAAACCACACTTCTGCTTAAAATATTGAAGGAACCTCTTCCAGATAAGTACTCAAGCACAGGAGCAGCAGAAAGAGCAGTAAGATACCATATTGTTGACATGAAAGATTTAAAACTTCTTAAGAATCCTGAAGACATGTTTGAACTGGTGGCTAGGGTAAAGAAAATAATAACTAAAAAAAGTACAACCAAGGAAGAATTAAAAGACTCAACTTCAGCAGCAGTTACAAGTAGGGTAGAAGAAAGTATAACAAGTCAGGCACACGAGGAAGCATCAAGTGTTGATGTGATTGGACATGAGCCAACTGAGCCAGTAGCAGGAAGTAGTGAAATCATAACGACATATAATGACAGTACATTGAGCAATAAATCACCCAGCCTCAGAGAATATGTCGATATGGTCCGTAAGAATCCAAATGAATGCTATGGTGAATTGGAGCTGGTACATATGATTGATACAGGTGGGCAACCAGAATGTCTTGCAGTGATGCCTACCTTGATCCACCATGCAGATCTTATACTCCTAGTTATTGACCTATCGTGCCCTCTAGATGACTGCATCACACCTACGTACCATGAAAATGGCCACAAGTTTGAGAAAGGGCCTTTAATAGCAACTAATAAGGAAATTATTAAGCAACTGGCTCATACAATGGCAGGTAGGAGTAACTCAAAAATCCTAGTTGTTGCCACTCATAAGGACAAAGTTCCTGAAAAACATTTTCCGAAAGTACTAGACGATTTGAATGGTTTTGTAGCAGAATATCTCCCTTCTGAATCACTTATGGCCAACAAAGGTCGGGTTGTGTTTGATATTGACTTACTTCACCCTGACAAGACACTAGACACCATACGTGAGACTGTCATTAATGTTAAGGTTAAGCCAATTGATATTCCCCCATCTTTTGTGTTGCTTGAAAATGACATGCAACACTTTGTCAGCAAAAACAGAAAGGTAGAAGTGTTAGAATTCAAAGAATGCGTTGAAATTGGAAAAAATCTACACATGACAGAGGAAATTATTGAAGCAGCTCTAACTTACTTTCATAAAAACAATGTTCTTTTGTTCTTTAAGGAAATTGGTCCAGGGCTTATTTTTGTCGATCCAAAAATTCTGATTTCTTTTTTTGACAATCTAATCAAATTTTCTTACACAATAACTGAAGGAGAAAGCATATGTCCAGCACTGACTAATCCCAGGTAGACGCCCTCAGAGGAGGAATGCTCTCAGAAGATCTTTTTGAACACAGGGCTCTGACTGAAAACTTCAGTCCCTGGCCTCTTTGAAGCTGATCATGCCATTGAAATATTCAAACGGTTTTATATTATAGCAGAGGGAAGACTGGACGATACATCAGTTAACTACATAATGATGTGTTTGCTTTGCCCTTTACGAGAACAAGAGTTTGTAGCAAAAAGAATCTCAAGAGTCGAGCCTCTTTTTATAGGGTTCGGAAAAGAAGGTTCTCCACTGAACTGGAAAGAGTGCTTCACCCCCTATGGGTGTTTTGGTGGCACCATTGCTTGCCTGATGTCAAACTTCAAGTGGAAAATTTGTACTGATTATAGAGACGAGAAACCTGAATGTCTCTATCGTAATGTTGTAATGCTCCGGCCAAACCGAATGAAGCTAAAAATAACCCTGATAGACACGATCGAACTCTTTGAAGTGTATGTAGAATCAAAAGCTGAATGCAAGCAAGAAGATCTCTCTAGGGTACGAAAGGAACTAGTTGGTGCAGTAAAAAAGGTGTTGGAAATGATGAAAATGGACTTGTTGTTGCTGAAGGGATTGAGTGCACCTGTGGGGAGAAAAGTGTGTTCCATTTAAAGTATCTGCTAGAGAATCCAGAATCGTCTGAAGAGTGTGCTAAGTGCAAGTATGGTCATAGAGAAAAGCCTGAAAGCCTTTGGGCTAAAGGTATGAGTAGCAACTATGGCCCTCTCACTATAGTGGTGGAATTATAATTATAGAGCTAACACTCCCTTCCATTAAAATCCACAGGTGAGGCATCACAAAAAACACAGTTAGCACCAGTGGCAGCAAAACTCTGTGAGTCATCACAATCATAGTCGCTGTAACTTTATCGGGGTGTGTTCAATTATAGATATTGATGACTTGTTTGATGTTAAGAGTGCGTGTGAACCAGTGACTGCCAGGTGGAAATCTCTTGGTCTGGCTCTCAGACTGAGTCCTACTCGACTGGATGTGATAGAGAAAGAGAACAAAAGTCTTGATGACTGTCTAACTGAGGTCCTGACTCTGTGGCTGAAGAAGTCATACAACACCAAGAGAAATGGAAATCCAACATGGGAGCTACTGGCCGAAGCAGTTGGTCATCCTGCTGGAGGGAATAACTCTGCACTTGCTGACGAAATTCGTCAAAGACACAGTAAACACACTCTATTAGCCTATTATACATTGTTCACTACATCATTATTTGCCAACCACTGCAGCAGTTACAGACCCGCCTTGTAAGAACACCACCACTGAGGACAGTAAAGGTAAGTTCCCTACTACCTGACTAAATAATAATTTTCCCTCGTCTTTCAGGAGCTGCACCTTAACCACCACTACCACGCCTTCCCCTGAGCCAACGCAAGCAGCACAGAACAGATACACATTCTCAAACCACTTATCGATTATGTAGGCAGCACACATCATAATATAAAGACAGAGCTCTATAACCTTTTTACTATGACAAATGCTAGATCATTTATGTGTGATGTGCTATATATACATGTTCATTGAGATGACATCGGTCACATTCAGAGGACATTGTATGTCTTCATGCTATCAGCGGCCCGCCCCGTGTCGATCGCATGAACACAGCAGGTTGAGTAACTGTCAGTGCATAACTGTTCAGTGCTTGCACACACAATTTATACGTACAGTGGCCCAGTATATACAGCAGTAAGTGAATAGGAAACCTGGCTTTTGATATTGTTACCAGCTTCCCGTTTTCAAGCCGTATCTCATAGAAATCTTATCCAACTGGTGGATGAAGTCAGAGATGGTCAACTCTCTAAAGAGAGATCCACTACATGTGTACATGTGTAGTGTGTTCGAAAAAAATGTAATCAGCACGATGACGCACACAGTCACCCCCATCGACAGCATACGAAACATTTCTTTACAGACATGACAAATTGAGCATCTTGGACAATACCTCAGTATCTTACAGTGCTGGCGCCCTAGGTAAATACACTGTGTACTCTCAAAACCTCTCATCCAAAATTACAAAGACATTATACAATGTTCACATGGACTATAAAGTACGAAGTCATTTCAGGAGTACAGAGATGACGGCGTGTACATTGAGGGTGCGGAGGTCAGTGTACGTCTGACCTGTCCCCACAAACACTATCGGCTGCCCCGTGATGTACGTCATGGAGATTGCGGCTCCCACCTGCGGAACAGAGGGGACGGGAGGGGTTAAAGTAAGAAGTTTAGGTCTCTCTCTCTCTCAGTCCAACTGCTATTCAAAGGTGATAACAGTGGATGGACAGAAGAAGATAATGATATTTGCTCTAAGGAGGTCAGCCACGCACCAGCTCCATACCTACCAACACGCAGGGATATTTTTCCTTGGGCCTTTTGTTTATTTTCCTTGTTTATGATCTATTTTCCTTGATTATAATACTTTACAGAAACTGACTGGTACAAGAAGTGATGGTACACTAGCACATATAAAAACAGGAATGGAGTTAGTGATGATCTTGATGAAGGCGCTTCGCTCTGTAGCTGTCTTTGCTGCTGAAAGTTCATGGAGGTAAAGTGTCACGATGTGCCCGCGCACGATACGCGCGAAAGGGAGGCCAAACGCGCGCGCGTCCGGTCCGTGCACGAGCGCAAAACTTCCCGGGATTTATGAACATTTTCCGGGATACCGGGATGCAATTTTTCCGTATATTCCCGGAAATTCCGGGATGGTTGGTAGGTATGCAGCTCCATTATCAAGGCCACATTGGCACATATGTAATTGACTTCGCGGGTCATTTCCAATGTTACGTCCATAATCATGTAATTCCGTGTCCGTTTGCACAATTCAATGCAGCATGCAAAGAGTTATTAAAATAGGCGATTTTCGTAAAAGTGCCGCGTTCAGAAGTTGTGGCGTGAAAACCAAGCCAATGTGCTAATTAGCAGAGGCTTACCTCGACCTGATCCGCTTGCTCTGTGTATCTTGTAAACCACAGCGAAGGGCGTATATCAACTCCCGCATGCTATCTACTACTGTAGCCCGTATCAGACTCTCCGCGAGCTACTCTAGCGGGAGACCACGAGTAAATGCATACACTACTAATAGCCCAGCCCATCAATTAGCGGTACCGCACATGCGTAGTTCGCCGAGGGTTTGCACTTTAGTGCTTTTTCATTAACAATTAGACAGATAACACCCATCTGCTCGGTTTTCAGTTGTAAGACTTCTACATTTGCTCAACTAACCAGTTTTACAATGCTGCGTTCCTGGCCATCTACATACAGAATCCTTTCGCCATTGTCCTCGCACTTCACTTGTCCTCGCACTTCGGTAAACAAACAGTAAAGGGTGACAATAATATAGGGCTTGTGTGGAGAGCAAGCGATGTCAGTTCAAAGTATGTAGCCATCATCCATTGTACTACTGCATCACGTTCACTAGGTCATCCCTGTCTTGTCTCCTTGCTTTTTATGGCATCACACTTTTTAATTTGAAGAATTTTTTATTTACTTGTAATACAATATAATGCAGTCTAAGTTGATGTTAGGATGTCACCTTCTGGTGAATGAGGTATTCACTATGATATGGGAGGGGGGTCAACACAGCACATGTGTCCAATTAACATGCTCTGGGGCGTGGAAGATGTAGTATTATGTGCATGCATCCTTGTGCAAAGGGCTTGCACATAGTACGACCTACCTCTCTTTCCAGACTAGTGTGAGATCAAAGCTGCAGAGAACCTGTCGATTATAGTGTCTAGGCATGTAGTAAGCTAAGTTTATTCTGTGGTTAGGAGTGTTGCAGGTGTCAATAGTAGGTGTTGATTGGAAAGGAGTGGCCAGGGGGGTGTTTCACGTGTGAATAACTGGTGTGGAATTTCAATTTCAATTTTACACTGGCAGGAAGAATGGCGGACGCGAGCGCCGTGCCAGTTGTGTCGCCTTCGCTTCTGACGGCCTCAGCGGTGGCTCGTTCTAGCGACCTTTTTTTCATTGGGAATGGAGGATGGGACAGATTTACAGCCATGTTCACCCGGCAACGCCACTTGACGAGAAAGCGCCGCGTGGAGCAGCGGGAAAATCCGGGGTCTTGGATGGAGGCGAAGACGACGGACCGGCGCCTCCCTTCCCCCGCTGCTCAACGCGGCGGCGCTTTCTCGTAGAGTGGCGTTGCCTCCTCGGGTGAACATGGCGCGGCGGCGGTAAATCCGTCCAATCCTCCATTCCCAATGATAAAAGGTCGCTAAGAACGAGCCACCGCTGAGGCCGTCAGAAGCGAAGGAGACACGGCGCTCGCGTCCGCTATTAGATAACTAACACATAGTACACAAAATATAATCTGCAACACTAGAACATTGAAATGCGTAATTAAGTATACCATACACACAGAGACCAACTGTCACCAAAACCACCACCACCTGCTCTTGGCACTATCTGTGTCGATCACCTTTTGGACGAAGACAGACCCAACCACGACTCTTTGTGTTTTCGGGTCCACATAGAAGGGGTGTGGCTGTATGTCGGAGAGGCCGTCGAGAACAGTGGACACATCCTCACCAACAATCTCGCTGAACTCATCCACGTCCACCGCCGCTCCAGGCTCCTTGAAGATCCCATACAGATCCTTCTTGTTTGCATTCGGGAAGCGCTTGTGAAACCTCTTCAAGGCTCTCCTGCTGCCCTTGAGCTTCATGGTCTCGTGTTCAGATGCCAACTGCACCAGAGCTTCAGCTTTCAAAGACAGGTCTTTTGTGTTTTTGAAAAGCCTCACTTGGTCTGCAAAACTATCCAGGTGCAGCAGCCGAGAGCCCAAGAGTTGTACCACTTGCTCGGCACACTTGGTAACAGCCGCGTTGTCATTGGCTCCCTCCAATTTCAATACAACTGCACAACTTCTCAATGTACCGCTTGGCATCCTCGCGATCTAAGTCACCAACGCTGGCAAACTCAGCCCTCAGTTCGTCCATGCCAATATCCAACCCCATGGCAGCTCGTGACGTCGACAGAACCACGATGGGACGCACGAGTGCCTCGTCGTGTCCCCAGTCTTTCAGCGTGAGAGCCAGCTCCTTAAGAGCTTTCGACGACGTGAACCGCTCGTTCACCTCCACTACAAGAACAGGGGGGTGCTCCAAGCCTGCATACCCCTCCTTGCGGATTTCCTTCAGTGCATTCACCACAACCTCCGTGTGGTCGACTTGTTTGTTTGTGTTTAGCCCCAAAGACTTGGTGACGGCGCGTGCAAGCTCTTGAACCAATTGAGTTTCTCCGGCAAGTGTAACAACTACAACCCCCTTCTTCCCTTCCAGAGTCTCCCTGACTGCTGCCGTCTTTCCACTTCCACGCGGGCCATGAATAATCACCGTCTTTTGGTTTTGCTTTGCGGCGAAAATGTCTACGACATCGGGCAGGCCACCCCTTGCGATGTACGGAGAGGGTTTCTTGGTTTTCGCTGGGTAAGTTGACCCGATGATCTTCGATTTTAGGTCATTTTGGAGCCCCGGGCCAAACCATTGGTTGTACTCTTGATATGCCACCGACACAGCAAACACGGCGGTGATGCTGCCGATCACGGTGGCGATGCTGCCGAACACGGTGGCGATGCTGCCGGCTATGGTGGTTGTGTCTTTGATCTTTTCCCACGGGAAGGTTGAGGAGCCTGTGGTGCCGTGTGTACGTTTAGTCAGATTGACAACTTGCCTTGGGAGGGTTGGGGAGACCGTGATGCCACATATAGGCTTAGTCGTAGTGAAGGCGGCTGGTCTGAGTTGAGTTCGAGGCTCGCAGGGAAAACATCCTGACGAGGGACGAAGGCTTGTTGACACCTGGGGTTTGCAATGCGATATGACCAGCTTTGCGGAGCTATAATATGTGCCGTTCGGCAGCTTCAACGGCATGCTTTTATATCGTCATTGCAGTCAGAGTTACGTGTTGTTTGAGACTCGACTGGCATACATAATGGGAAGTTTTGCTCTGCCGTTTGCACAAAGGTGACGTATGTGTAGTGTACACACATCATTAACTCACATGACATGAGGAATGCCATGTTCTCGTATACACAACACATTACATCTCAGAGCAACTGTTTTTCTCTCACATATTATAGCCACTTTCTCAAACCAACATTGAAATGATGAGGATGCAGTTCAATGCTGTACACAACGTGCTATCTACTGGTCCTAGTCTGTTTCCAGTCCTGGAATAAAATAGCGCATTCCTAGGACTGTTGCCAGTAGCAACACATCCCCAGCACCAGTAGGGATATGGGAGGCGGGGTCAAGGATGGCAAACACCACCCCAACATTAGACCTGACTGGACACAGAGAAAGTTGTAGGGCAGAAGACATGTGTGTGTTGTGTGTGGTGTGAGTGAGAGAGCTCATTCCAGCAGCGACACTCACACCGCTCCCAACAACTTATTCAGACAGGTAACATGTCACCCCACAACAACAGACATTGCACACTGTTCAGCTGGGAGGAAACCAATGACTGTGTATATAATAGTGCATGCATACAGTATATCTTTTTGTGTGATAAGTGTGTATATGTATAGGTTTGATGATGGCAAGTGTGCTCTATGAGCGCGCAGCACAATAGAGCATACTTGAAACCTGCTGATACAATGCTCTCTCTCTACAGAATGATGAAGTGCAAAGCCCTCGGCGCACTTTACGCGCACGCGTAAGTAAACGCATGCGCATCGTACAACTATTATTGACTGCCGGGTTTAGTTTGCCTGTACTCGTGGTCTCTCGACACAGCGCGCGCAGAGTCTCGACGCGGGCTAACTACACTACTAGATAGCATGCGAGAGGCGATAGACGCCCTGCGGTGCATCTTACTGCTGCCTCCCGGAGTACGCAGAGCACGCGGATCGATCCGACTGTGGTAGCCATTGTCCGTTTTGTATTTGCATATTGGCTTTTTCGCGCTCTAGCTTTGCAACGGAGCAGTTTCCAGAGAAAAGAGTATAGGTTTGATGGCGGAAGGTGTGCTCTAGACGCGCAGCGCGAATAGAGCATACTTTCCGTCATCAAACCTACTGTACGCGTCTCTGTAGTAACATGGATGGCGCCCTTTTTAAGGAAAGTGTTGTGTAAGCGCTTGACAGTACACGCACAATGCCTGAATTCCCTATAAGGAAAACCAAGTGGGCCACTATATGGGTGTCGGTTAGGAAGTAGCTCAGCCCACTCTGGTACAAGCTCACCAAATAAATATCATACCTCATAATCGCGTCGTTGCCGGTAACTGTACCAAAAGTGCATGCATGTCCAGTATAATCTTTTGTGTTAAGAGTATTGTGTGATAGAGTGTGTATGTATAGTAGGTTTGCCTTGCCCTTGTGTTGTTTTTGTTGTTGTAGATTCGAACCCCTACCAGCTGAGTTGCCATGGTAGCTCGCTCGCCTGATAGCTCAGTTGTAGAGCGCTCCACCTAGACAGCAGAGTGTCGTGGGTTCGAATCCCACCTAGGGCAGCTCTTTATTTTTCCTTGGAAAAAAAGAGCTGTCCTAGGTGTAGTTGATTTGTTTGTTGGCCTTGCCTTTCTACTTCATAGTTTTCACATGCATAGTCAGTATATATATCTTTTTGTGTTAAGAGTATTGTGTGATAGAGTGGGTAATCCCACGGAGCTCTTATTTTTGAAAAAGAGCTGTCTAGGTGTAGTGATTTGTTTGTTGCCATCCTTTCTAATAGTTTTCACTGCAGTCAGTAATATTCTTTTGTGTTAAGGTATTGTTTGATAGAGTGTGTATGTATAGTGGCATGCATAGTCGTATAATCTTTTTGGTTTTAAGTATGGTGTGATAGAGTGTGTATGTATAGTGCATGCATAGTCAGTATATCTTTTTGTGTTAGAGTATTGTGTGATAGAGTGTGTATATATAGTGCATGCATAGTCAGTATATCTTTTTGTGTTAGAGTATTGTGTGATAGAGTGTGTATCAGAGCGTCGGTAGACGCTCTATATAGGGATGAGACGAGTGAAATCTCACGTGATCCACGTACAAAACGCCTCAAAACTCAGCGACAATGACTCACCATGGCTTCAAATCACTAGCAATAGTCTAGAGGCCATACCTAGCTATACATATGCCCCAAGACTTCCTACGTGCCCTCAGTTCCCCACGAGAGAATTCGCACTTACGCGATTTCGCGATTTCGTGTCATCATAATCATCATATTCTTCTTCTTCTCTCTCTTCTTCTTCTTCAGACCCGCTAGCTCCTTACCGGAAGCAGTTGAAAGCGTTGATTTTTTCACAGAACGTCTCCAAATTTGCCGGAGGTGTGCACGCATATAAAGCGATCGCTTGTTTCTTGCCGCAAGTCACTACGGTAGATCATTCAGCTCTTCCACGGTAGTCACTGGACAACGCCATTTGCTGCTAACTCAGCATCAGTGAGCGCGATGCGCCGAGGAGGGCGTTTCCCCAATGCCGGTGCGCGCGCATTCTCGTGTCGTGAACCAGGTCTACGAGACTAAGCCAGGATGCCTGCAGAGGAACTCTTATCCTCCAGTGCCTTCTGTAAGTCAGTATACTAACTGGCTAGTTCCGTTTTGCTGTTGATTGTACGAGGAGCAACTTGGCAGTGTGCGCCGTGTTACGCGGGCCTTGCCCAGCGCCTTCATTGTTTGTCCCCAGGTTATAGCTATCATTGTAGTCTGTTACTGAAGCCTGCCTACGAAACCACCCCCACCGTATGTGCCCACAACCTAATTGCATCGTTGTTGGAGACACTACGCATACACCCTGCTTCAGGTACATTAGCTTCTGCTTTCACAGTTTATCTCTACAAACATCAGAGTGACGGAAATGGCAGACGGCATGAAAAATAGTGGAAACAGTGGAAAAATCATTCTCTCTTCAAAATGAAGGGGTGATATAGGGATGGCTTGAAGCCCAAAAATGAAGAAACAAAGGGTCATTAACACGGCAAAAGATGCACCAAGCTACATGACACCATCCTATACTTTTTGTTATATAATAGTTACAGTAAAGTTTACTTGAGACAAAGATCTAGGGATGTTGCATGTAGCTTGGTGCATCCTTTGCTGTGTAATCCCCCTTGTTTCTTCCTTTTTGGTCGCAAGCCATCCCTATATCACCCCTTCATTTTGAGAAAGATTTTTCCACTTGTATATATAGTGCATGCATAGTCAGTATATCTTTTTGTGTAGAGTATTGTGTGATAGAGTGTGTATTATGTGCATGCATAGTCAGTATATCTTTTTGTGTTTGTCTGAGCAAGCTGGTGGAGGTTGTTCTAGCTACATACCAAGACACTATAACAATATACACTATATAACGTTTTTAACAAAGACGACTCCCACTCTCTCAGAATACCGACAGCCTCAGACCTCCCTCTTCTCACCAAATTTTCACCAAAATCTATTTCCTTGTGGAAATTTTTGTTACCATTTCACCTTATAAAACCTTCTCTGCAATTTTATCTCAAAATAGTGATATCGTACTATGTTGACCAGTTCAAACCATCTCTGAAAAGTGTCTGCCTGTACGAGGAATGATGTAATATTATGTTGTGTGTGAATGCACATACTAACGGCCAGTTCAAGGTATAGAAGCACAAAGTATGTTTACCTTTCAGCATGCCGCGAGTGCCGTGGATTCGATAATAATGATGCATGCCAGTCCTGCACGTCTGGTTTTACTCACACAGTGAAATGCAGTACACCAGGTATATCAATAATAGTATTACACCACAGTTATAGTACCAAGTTTAACCAAGCCTATGTTGAACTATCACACAGTCACCACCTGCCTCCACCTGCTGGCACTGATCGGTGTCAATCACCTTCTGGAAGAGACAGACCCAACCCTGACTGTCTTGTTTCGGGTCCACGTAGAAGGGGTGTGGCTGTATGTCGGAGAGGGTCGTCGAGAGCAGTGGGCCACATCTCACCGACCATCTCTGCTGAATCATCCACGTCCACCGTCGCTCCAGGCTCCTTGAACATCCCATACAGATCCTTCTTGCTTGCATTCGGGAAGTGCTCGTGAAACAGTGTCAAGGCTCTCCTGCTGTCCTTGAGTTTGATGGTCTCACATTCAGATGCCAACTGCACCAGAGCTTTCACGGACACCTGCTGCTGCGTCCTTGTGTTTTCGAAAAAGCCTCACTTGGTCTGCAAAACTATCCAGGTGCAGCAGCCGAGAGCCCAAGATTTGTACCACTTCCTCGGCACACTGGAGGAAACAGCTTTGCATGTCAGTGCTCCCTCCAATTTCAACTCCGTACACAACTGCTCAATGTACTGCTTGGCCTCCTCGCGATCTAAGTCACCAACGCTGGCAAACTCGGCCCTAAGTTCATCCATGCCAATCTCCAACCCCATGGCAGCTCGTGATGTCGACAGGACCACGATGGGACGCACAGTGCCTCCTCGTGTCCCCAGTCTTTCAGCATGAGAGCCAGCTCCCCAAGAGGCTTTTCGACGACGTGAACCGCTCGTTCACCTCCACTACAAGAACAGGGGGTGCTCCAAGCTCCCTGGATTCCTGCGGATTTCCTTCAGTGGCATTCACCACAACCTCGGTGTGTGTCCACTTGCTGTTTGTGTGTAGCCCCAAAGACTAGTGATGGCACAGCAAGCTCTTGATCAATTGACTCTCCCCAGCAAGTGTTACAACCACGACCCCCTCTTGTCTTCCAGAGTCTCCCTGACTGCTGCCGTCTTTCCACTTCCGCGCGGGCCACAAACAATCACTGTCTTCTGCTTTTCCTTGGCGGCTAAAATGTCCACGGCGTCGGGCAGGCCACCCCTTGCGATGTGCGAGAGGGTTTCTGGTTTTCGCTGGGGTAGGTTGACTCGAGGATCTTCTTGTTGAGGGCGTTTGGGAGCGCCGGCCAAACCATGTTGTACTCTTGATGCGCCATCCACACAGCAAACACGGCGGTGATGGTGCCGATCACGTGCGGTGATGCTGGTCGTGTCTTTTGATCTTTTGCCAGGAGGTGAGAGGTGTGTTCCATGTGACTTTAATCAGATTGACAACTGCACATTGCCTGGGAGGTTGGAGACCGGTGCCACTGTATAGGTTTAGTTGTAGTGAAGGCGGCCGCCTGAGTCGTAGAGTTAGCAAACGAGAGGCTTGCAGGGAAAACATCCTGACTAGGGACGAAGGCTTGTTGACAGCTGGGGTTTGCAAAGGACAGAAGCTTTGAGGAGCTATCAATATGTGCCGTTCGGCAGCTTCAACAGCATGCTTATATATCCAACTGTTGTGAACGTATTCATTGCAGTCGTAATTGAAGAGTTACGTGAGAGAGTTGTGCTAACTGAGACTGGCGTACATAATGGATGTTTCTCCAAAAGGAAGTTTGCTCTGCACATTGTTACTTTGGACGTATGTGTAGTGTAAAAACATGTTTTTCAAAAAACCTCACATGACATGAGGAATGCCATAGTTCTCTGTATAACACAACATTACATCTCAGAGCAACTGTTTTCTCTCACATAGCCACTTTCTCAAACCAACATTGAAATGATAAAATTGATGAGGATGCAGTTCAATGCTGTACACAACGTGCTATCTACTGGTCCTAGTCTGTTCCAGTAAGGAAATAAGGGAAAAGAGAGTCTTTTTTTGCGTGGACTGATGGGTAGGTTGACTCGAGGATCTTCTGTTTGAGGTCATTTTGGAGACCCGGGCCAAACCATCGGTTGTACTGCTTTCCATGCCATATGTGCAGCCACCACGGTGGGTGATGCTGCCGAGGCTTCCTGTTCGTTGTATATACAAGTGGAAAAGTGCATATCTCCAAAATGAAGGGAGCAGCTCAAGACACAAAAAGGAAAGAACAATGGTTCATTACACAGCAAAGACACACCATTGTCTTTGTCTGATATTTTTCTCTGATAATTTAAAGATGATTGTGTCATGCGTGTTATTGCTGCGTAATGAACCCTTGTTTGTGTTTTGAGCCAATCCCTTATTCCACTTGTTTCCACTCTTTCTCTTCTATGACGACACTGCATTTTCTTATTGTGGTGGCTCTCATGTGCATGGGTATGAGGTTGACGATAACCTGAGTGAAAGCACAGTCCACATTAGGAGCATTTGTAGTGACATGGAGTTGGGAAGACAGAGACACTATAATACAGAAAGCCCATAATTAGTGCACAGAGCTGTAACTTGTGGGCTGTTGCTACATGAAGCAAAACTGAAGGGCAGTATACTGATGCATAGCTCAATACACAGATGACATAGTTACAGAGCCACCTAAATGAGTTGCCAAAAGGTTAAATAGGTTTTAGCATGTTTGTGGACAGTGGTGGTTCATGGGCAGGCTTTAGTGATGTTACCTACAAACTGGGGGAGGCTCCATGGGAATTAGCTCAGAGGTCAACAAGTTAGAATTTGTTTATGGTCAACTTCTCTACAACTTCTCTACAACATACCCATGCACTCAGAGAAGTCAATGCTGTGTGAGTTGTGTAAAAGTGAATTCTTGCATGGAGAACTGAGGGCACCTATATATAAAGTGTTTGCATATGTATAGCTAGACAGTGCACAAATCCAATTACGAGTTGATGTGCTCACTTGACATAGTCCAGTCTGGACTGACACATCTGATGGAATGGAACCAGAGAAATTGTGACCTTCGACCTCCGTCCACTCCCACAGAGCTTTTGACTCAAAAGGAAGTTTTGCTCTGCACGTTGTTATTTTGCAGAAATGTGACGTATGTGTAGTGTAAAAACACATCTGTCAACATTTTCAAACAACCTCACATGACATGAGGAATGCCATAGTTCTCTGTATAACACAACACATTACAGAGCAACTGTTTTCTCTCACATATTATAGCCACTTTCTCAAACCAACATTGATAATTATGAGGATGCAGTTCAATGCTGTACACACCGTGCTATCTACTGGTCCTAGTCTGCTCCAGTCTGGAATGAAAATAGCGCATTCCTAGGCCTGTTGCCAGTAGCAACACAGTCCCCAGCACCAGTAGGGATATGGAGGCGGGGTCAAGGATGGCCACACCCCTCAACTCTGCCAACATTAGACCTGACTGGACACAGAGAAAGTTGTAGGGCAGAAGACCTGTGTTTGTGTGTGCGTGTGTGTGAGAGAGAGAGAGCTCTCATTCCCAGCAGCAGACACATCACACCTCTCCCAACATGCTAGTCTCAAAACATACCAAACCATTATTCAGACAGGTCTCAGCTGACATTTCACTCAGTATCAGTGGGGCACAAACAACATTCCGAACTAAGAACACAAACAATATTCACAGCTCGACTGAAGTCACGCACCAAAGAGGACGGAGATGAAGAAGAGATGAAGGGGCACCCCGAGAAGTGGGGATGAGAGGTTGAGGAGCCAGTTTGGGGACATGGGGAACAGTCTCAGAGATAGGAGGACCAGCAACAGCTCAGCTCCCTTACTGGAGTGGAGCTGGTCACGACAGAGAGAAGGGTGTGAGTGTGTGTGGGAATGTGAGTAGGAAATAGGGAAGGGAAAAGAGAGTCTGTTAATTTTTCTTCATATAAGACTAAGTTTTGAGTCACGAAATCTGCTGGTCAGCATTTTAATTGTTCTTAGCTCGTAACCCATGTTTTCTTATGGCATACTATGCATTGAGTAACCAACAACAAATTTCGTGACTCAAAACTTAGTCTTATATGAAGAACCAACCCAAATCATGAAGTAATGAAAGTGCAAACCCTCGGCGAACTGCGCATGCGCGGTACCGCTAATAGTATGCGTTTTGCGTTTACGTACTCGTGGTCTCCCGCTAGTAGCTTGCAGAGAGTCTGACACGGGCTAGCTACAGTAGTAGATAGCATGCGAGAGTCGATACACGCCATTCGTTGTGACTTCTTGTGCCTTCAAGATACACAGAGCAAGCGGACCCGGTCTAGGTAAGCTAGCCTGTGCTAAATATAAGCGCATGCGCATTTTCCGCAGCGATAAAAATGGCCGACTACGCTTTAGCCGTACAATGCTTGAAGCGCTCTAGCTTTGCAACGGAGCATTTTCAGATAAAACCCCACAAATTTTCTGACCTTCGTTGCCCGTTGAGTAGGTCGTATCGTTTGTGAGACGAACAAACACTCCAGAAGTGAGATGTCGAGTAACAGACAAACAGACAGACCCAACTACCGTAACCCTCGCTGCGCATGCGCGCCGAGGGTTAACAAGGGTTTTTGCCACTGAAACATCTATAGTGAATTGCGAAATGTCTCAGTTTAGAAAATTCATGTAGGGAATGAGGATTTCCTTCAAGTCTGCAGATGGATCTGTATACGTAAACACATGTGTTGTTGCACAGACTTAGTTGCATGGGACTATTGTCTCGTGTAAACATCGACATTTTCCTTGAAATGTGCCCAGGTTCATGATCCACAATCTCTCGTGTGGGGGGTGTTCTGTAATACTCTATTACCAACCCTGTCCTGGAGTGGAGTGAGACGGTGCCCCAGGTACCTGGTGACCAGCCTGCGACCGAAGACCAGGGAGAGGAGGTAGCAGAGAGATGCTCCACAGGCAGACAGGAGGCACACCAGAGGCAGGGCCACCCACACCCCAAACACTGCTCCCCCTAGAATGTTCTGGAACAACAAGACCATGATACACAGTCACTACCTCCTCCCCATGTGTTCCACAATAGTCTCAACTAAACCCTCACTTTCCCTCTCTTCTTGACCATTTCCGAGTCACTCGGTAACTTTTCAAAAAAAGTAAATGCTCATCGACCACCACTGTCTCAATTTCTATCCCTCCCTGCCCCTCACGTATGCACGAACAGCTAGCTTCTAGGTGTTGCCAACAAGCAGGCACTAACTAGGAAGACGGAGCCAGGGATGGCAAAGGTCTGTTTGTAGAGGTAGGCAGCAGAAAATACGCAGAGAACTCTGCCATAGTGCTGCTCCCTCAGTCTTTCCAGCTGGGAGGCCAGGGATCGCAGCTGGTCCATGTCAGAGGGGAATGACAGGGGAGGCCTGGGGATTAGGATGGGCCATGTTATATACTCTCCTTCATTCGTTGCTTGATATCATGAAATAGTTCTCCCTACTTCAAGCTATTATAGTTGAGTGAATGAATAGATCAGTGTTTAGGGAGATTCAGATTTTAAAGTTCTCACCCATTTCTCAGTAGAGAGGCGGCCAGGGCATACAGAGGCACAGTGGCAGCTACAAAAGTCACCAACACACCCACCAGTTCTCTTAGCATCCTCTTTAGCGCGTATCATACCCCTAGTGCGCCTGCGCGAAAAATAACCGCCCACTCGTGGATAATGGCAGCGGCGCGGGAGAAAGACGCTGACGTTCGTCACAGGCAACCCCAAGAAGCTGGAAGAGGTAATCTTTACATAACTCATCTGTATGGCAAGACTTAGAGCATGCATGATGCCGTTTCTCTCACAGTATTAGCTGAACATGATCACCAGCCACACCCCCAACACCTCAGTTGACTAAATTTTTAGTATATACCAAATTTAGTTCCCCAACTCTATATTTTTAGCTAACAACAGCTCAAATGTGCCTCTAGCAACACTGAGATATATTAGCCTCTCCCGCTCTCCTGTGTGTTGAAATCTCTAACAACAGACAGCTGTACCTCAAGTCAACCACAAAAAGCTGCGTTAGTGTGTGCTAGATTAGTTGCGCCTTATTCGAGTATTGTGTGATAGAATGCGTGTATATAGTGCATGCATAGTCAGTATATCTTTTTGTATTAAGAGTATTGTGTGATAGAGTGTGTATATATAGTGCATGCATACGTCAATATATCTTTTTGTGTTTGTCTGAGCAAGCTGGTGGAGTTTTTCTACCTCACATACACCATCAGATACTATACACTACATCTATGGCCATACTAGATAGATAGAGAGATAGAATCATTTTACAAAGATGGACTCCCCACTCTCTCAGAATACCGACAGCCTCAGACCTCCCAATGGCCATGAGGTACCGCGTCCTCCAGAAGACGTACAAACAGATGGTTGGAGTGTACCAGTCCTACATCCATGGACTGGGGCTGTTCTGCCGGAGAGACATTGAGGCTGGGGAGATGGTGATAGAGTACGCCGGCACCGTCATTAGGTCCGTCCTCACGGACAAGAGAGAGAAGATGTATGATGCCAGGGTAAGGATGCTTGGTAGAGAGCAACAGAACGACAGGGCAATAAGTGGAAATCTACTACAACCAACATGTTACTTATTGTCTGGGTTTTAGATGTGTACTTGTCCCTTCAATTACTCCTCCTTTGTTTTCAAGCTTCCCCTTTGCTGTCTCTATGACCTCAGCAAGCTACATTGCTGTCAGTCATAGCAAGTTTTCCCTTCTCAGTGGCTGTTTATGCAGTGTACTGTGAGGTCCATTATCTTTTCATGCTCTCTGGAGTCAGCATGATGAACACAATAGGCATTAATTTTTTTTTATGGGAAGGCAAAAGGGGAGGAGAGAGGTGGGTGTGGTTTTGTTTTCGTTTTCCACAGGGCATTGGTTGCTACATGTTCAGGATAGATGCAGATGATGTAGTGGATGCTACGATGTCTGGCAACGAGGCCAGGTTTATCAACCACTCCTGTGAGGTGAGTACTAGCATCTCTCTTCTAGCTTCAAAAAACTTAAAAACTTACTATACATTATGCATGCATTATGTGAGCACATTAGGTACTTTAGAAAATTGTGTTTCAAAGTGTGTGTAAGGTTCTGTTTCTACTTACGAGTTGGCACGCACTAAGTGAGGCTAACTCTCTCTCTCTCATCCCCTCAGCCAAACTGCTATTCAAAGGTGATAACAGTGGATGGACAGAAGAAGATAATGATATTTGCTCTAAGGAGGTCAGCCACGCACCAGCTCCATTATAATTATTTTACAAACAAGGCTAGATTGGCACATATGTATTTGACTTCACGGGTCACTTCCAATGTTACGTCCATAATCATGTAATTCCGTGTCAGTGTGTGTGGAGAGATTTGCACAATTGAATGCAGCATGCAAAGAGTTAACTTAGAAGCTCCTCCCACCACTGTAGGATCGTACCAGGTGAAGAGCTGACGTATGACTACAAGTTTCCTCTGGAGGAGGCCAAGATACCTTGCAACTGTGGCACTAAACGATGTCGCAAGACCATGAACTGACCACACCCCCTTCTCAGTGAACTGACCACACCATCTGACCACGCCCCCTCTTCTAGAACTGACCACACCCCCTCAATATGATGCTTTCTCTCTACTCTTTCCCTCTCTCTCAGTCTTTGATGCACAAGGTTTGGTGGCTGGTACTATATTATGGCCGTTTTTCCCCTTCTCTCTCACCAATTTATCACCAAAAAATCTATTATCCTTGTGGAATTTTTGTTACATTTCACCTTATAAACCCTTCTGCAATTTTATTTCAAAGTGATATATACTATTGTTTGACCAGTTCAAACCATTCTCTGAAAAGTGTCTGCCTACACGAGGAGGAATATTATGTTTGCATGTTAATGCATACTAACCGGCCAGTTATAGAAGCACAAAGTAATGTTTACCCTTTCAGCACGAGAGCTAATATTATGCATGCCAGTCCATGGAGTCTGGTTCACACCATCGAAATACGTATCATAAACGTATCAATAACATACCACAGAGACCATGTTTTGAACAGCCTATGTTGAACTGTTTACTCAGTGACCAAAACCTCCACCTGCGGCTCTTCAAGTTTGGCGTGATCGGTATCAATCACCTTCTGGACGAAGACAGACCCAACCACGACTGTCTGTTTTTTCGGGTCTACGTAGAAGGGGTGTGGCTGTATGTCGGAGAGGGCTTTGACAACAGTGGGCAAATCCTCACCGATCATCTCACTGAACTCATCCACGTCCACCGCCGCTCCAGGCTCCTTGAAAAGCCCATACAGATCCTTCTTGTTTGTATTCGGGAAGCGCTTGTGAAACCGTTTCAAGGCTCTCCTGCTGTCTTGAGCTGCTGGTCGTGCGTTCATGTGCGGACTGCACCAGAGCTTCCCAAAGACACCTTTTGGAAAACCTGCACTTGGGTCTGCAAAAACTATCCAGGTGCAGCAGCCGAGTGCCCAAGAGTTTTACCACTTGCTTGGCACACTTGGAAACAGCCGCTTTGTCATTGGCTTTCTCCAATTTCAACACCCTGCACAACTGCTCGATGTACTCCTCGGCATCCTCGCGATTTAAGTCACCAACGCTGGCAAACTCGGCCCTCAGTTCCTCCATGCCAATCTCCAACCCCATGGCAGCTCGTGATGTCGACAGGACCACGATGGGACGCACGAGTGCCTTATCATGTCCCCAGTCTTTCAGCGTGAGAGCCAGGTCCTCAAGAGCTTTCGACGTGAACCGCTTGCTCACCTCCACTACAAGAACAGGGGGTTGCTTCAAGCTCCATGGATTTCTGCGGATTTTCTCCAGTGCATTCACCACAACCTCGGTGTGGTTCACTTGCTCGTTTGTGTTTAGCCCCAAAGACTCGGTGATGGCACGAGCAAGCTGTTGACTCTCGCCAGCAAGTGTTACAACCACGACCCTCTTTTGGCCTTTCAGAGTCTCCCTGACTGCTGCGGTCTTTCCACTTCCGCGCGGGCCACAAACCATCACCGTCTTATGCTTTTCCTTGGAGGCGAAAATGTTCATGATGTCGGGCAGGCCACCCCTTGAAATGTACAGAGAGGGTTTCTTGTTTATCACATAGGTTGACTTGAGGATCTTCTTTTTGAGGTCATCTTGGAGCCCCGTGCCAAACCATCGTTTGTACTCTTTCCGTGCCGTCCACACAGCTAACCCGGTGGCGATGCTGCCGATGCTTCCGGTGACAAGATTGACTTCTTTGAGCGTTATCCCTCTGGAGACGTTCAAAAAAAACTTGCTTCAGGAGGGTTGAGGAGATTGTGTTGCCACGTATAGGTTTAGTCGTAGTGAAGGCGGCCGGCCTGAGTTGTAGAATTAGCAGACGAGAGGCTCGCAGGGAAAACATCCTGACGAAGGCTTGTTGACAGCTGGGGTTTGCAATGTGATATGACAAGCTTTGAGGAGCTATCAATATGTGCCGTTTGGCGGCTCAACAGCATGCTTTTATATCCAACTGTTGTGAACGTATTCATTGCAGTCGTTGAGTTACGTGTTGTGCTAACTGAGACTGGTGTACATAATGGATGTTTCCCCAAAAGGAAGTTTTACTCTGCACATTGTTACTTTGGACGTATGTGTAGTGTAAAAACATGTTTTTCAATAAACCTCACATGACATGAGGAATGCCATAGTTCTCTGTATAACACTACATTACATCTCAGAGCAACTGTTTTCTCTCACATAGCCACTTTCTCAAACCAACATTGAAAAGATAATATTGATGAGGATGCAGTTAAATGCTGTACACAACGTGCTATCTACTGGTCCTAGTCTGTTCCAGTAAGGAAATAAGGGAAAAGAGAGTCTTTTTTTTGCGTGGACTGATGGGTAGGTTGACTTGAGGATCTTCTGTTTGAGGTCGTTTTGGAGCCCCGGGCCAAACCGTTGGTTGTACTCTTTCCATGCCACATGCGCAGCCAACACGGTGACGATGCTGCCGCGAGGCTTCCTGTTCATTGTACAAGTGGAAAAGTGCACATCTCTAAAATGAAGGGAGCAGCTCAAGACATGAAAAGGAAAGAACAATGGTTCATTACAAACCCTTGTTTGTGTTTTGAACCATCCCTTATTCCACTGCTCCACTCTTTCTCTTCTATGACGACACTGCATTTTCTTATTGTGGTGGCTCTCATGTGCATGGGTATGAGGTTGACGATAACCTGAGTGAAAGCACAGTCCACATTAGGAGCATTTGTAGTGACATGGAGTTGGGAAGACAGAGACACTATAATACAGAAAGCCCATAATTAGTGCACAGAGCTGTAACTTGTGGGCTGTTGCTACATGAAGCAAAACTGAAGGGCAGTATACTGATGCATAGCTCAATACACAGATGACATAGTTACAGAGCCACCTAAATGAGTTGCCAAAAGGTTAAATAGGTTTTAGCATGTTTGTGGACAGTGGTGGTTCATGGGCAGGCTTTAGTGATGTTACCTACAAACTGGGGGAGGCTCCTTGGGAATTAGCTCAGAGGTCAATTTGTTTATGGTCAACTTCTCTACAACATACCCATGCACTCAGAGAAGTCAATGCTGTGTGAGTTGTGTAAAAGTGAAGAATTCTTGCATGGAGAACTGAGGACACCTATAAACTGTTTGCCATAGCTAGACAATGCACACTTTGGCTGAGGTCACAAGCAGCACTAAAATATTTAGCATTTTCAGTTCCAATTACGAGTTGATGCAATAGTCCAGTCTGGACTGACACATCTGATGACCAACCGAGACAGAGAAATTGTGACCTTCGACCTCCGTCCACTCCCACAGAGCTTTTGACTCAAAAGGAAGTTTTGCTCTGCACATTGTTATTTTGCAGAAATGTGACGTATGCGTAGTGTAAAAACACATGTCACATTTTCAAAAAAACCTCACATGACATGAGGAATGCCATAGTTCTCTGTATAACACAACACATTATAGAGCAACTGTCTGTCACATATTATACAAGTGGAAAAATCATTTCTTCAAAATGAAAGGGGGATATAGGGATGGCTTGAAGCACCAAAAAGGAAGAAACAAGGGGTCATACACGGCAAGTTTGCACAAAGCTACATGACAATC